TCCACCAGCAGATGGATAATCCCTGCGAAATACAGCACAAAAACGCAGAAAGGGGTGGAATCCTTATTCATGTGTGGAGCTTCATTGGTATTTAACCCCACAGCTCCACCTGAATAATTATTCACACTCCTCTTGCCACGCTGATGTGGTGGTCCCCAGGTTGCCGACGAAGATGATGGTTCTTTGTCGAAATCAATTTCTGATTCACTTTCCTCAACGCCACTCTCAGAATTGTCGGTACAACAATCTGATTTGGAGTCGTTTATGAGTTGAAATATGTCAGCGTCTTCCAAACGAGACGTCGCCATGGTGTGGGCTGACAACTTCACTGAATAGCTAGCTTTGAAAGTTATGACACTGTTTGGCTGTGGCATAAAGACGGTAGCCTTGGAGGTTCCTATAAAAACTAACTCAGCACTGTCAGAACAGAGAACTCGTTGTGTAGCTATAAGCGATAAAAAACAATCAGGATTCTTATGAACGAATAGATACTCGCCGACACCTCTGCATACCGAAAGAACGTATGTGTATATACACTGACACACGCAGGCCTAAGCCCCGGCTAGCGCATCTGCTGTGTTGCCGCTTCAGCAGCATTCATACTTGCAAGAACTGTATGAATTCTTGTAGAGATACGACATATTGGGGAATATTTAAGTCGGAATCAGTATAAAAATTTTTACACATTTTATAAAGTCTGTAAATTACAATATCTGATTCTATATTCTTTCTAGAAAAAAGCAGCGTTTATTTGGTTCGTTTATCACAAAAATTGTAGAAATCACAGCAATTTTAGTAAATGATTACAGTTTTTATTGCTTTATAATTGCGGGTATTTAAATTAAATCCGTCCCGCAGCCATTACCAGAATTTAAAGGGCCGTCTCTTAAAGGTTAATATCCCAAATATTAAGTTTTTTGTACTGCTTAATAAAGAATGCCAGTGAGATCACGCTCCACTTCAGAAACTTCAGCAGAGATGGGGGTTCCAATTGCAGTCACCTAGGTGATCAATGTGAAGCAAAATGAAGATGAACCAATCTGGAGACAGGACCTGGAGAAACAAACTTACAGCTCCTCCCACTATCACTCCCATTGGCTTGGTCTCAGTTCTGATGATGGGAACAGAGACAGTCCCTGAAATGTTGGTAATCTTTAACCGGCTGACATGGATGGTAACCTGAGAAGTTTTATCAACAGGAAGTTTTTTATTTCCTTCACTAATATGTAGCAGTCAGTAAATTCTGCTGATCAGTCATTTCCCCATGAGGTACAAGCATAACTGCACCTACCCCTGCTGCTTTAACATATTTCCAACATACGAGTATCTGTCATATTAACAGAGTTCTATATACCCACACCAGTTAAAAATTTATTCTTCAGCATCTGTGGAGAAACATGAGAAGAGTGTAGGAGAAAATATTAATGAATAAGTTATAAGATGCTCACTCATCACAGATAAGCAGGGGAGTATGTTTGTTGAGCTGTGTTGATAACATATTGATGTTTTAAGTACAGAACAACAAATATGAAATTTGATGGAAATGAGCTGATAGTTCTCTGTGGCTGTTATTAGGGAAGTTATGTTTAAGGCCATCATTACTTTGGAGGTTGTCAGTTTATGATCTGCAAAATCTGTGTGACCCTGGTCAGCACAATTCTGTGATATTGAAATATCAGTATTTCAATATCACAGAAAGTATCCACAAAAATGTAACCAATGCATTTTTTTTTCAGCCTTCTCTGGTTCTTTCATAGGACAGTCACTTCTGAAGAAACATCTTCCTTATGGTAAAAATGCTCACATTCTAGTATCAAGTGTTCTGGCAACAGGAGTTTCTTACCAGGTGACCACACATCGGACGAAGTGTTGTCAGGCTGCATGGATGGCAGCAGAAGATAAGCATACATACATAAAGGAGAGTTCTGTGACTGAAGACTCATCTGCATGAGCCCAAAGCTGTGTGGCATACTGAATTATAGAGACACAGTAAACAACATTTTGTTTTCTCCATGTGTTAAACATTATTTCATAGTACCTTTATAAAGTCTGTGAAAATGAGACCTCTCCATAATATTGTAATTTGTCTCCAGTACAAGTTTCTGAATAGGAACTTACTTAGCTTTCATAGATATGATAGACATTTCTCATTGGATAATTGTTGCACAAGAAAGAAAATGGAAGCTGTAAATTTTGTAACTTTTCAGAGGGAGCTGAAAATTCAAGGATACCGAAGATTTACTAACATCTCCAGTTTAACTAGTGTAAATGCTTCATTCTCTAAAATGAAATATACTTCCTTTAATACCGGTACAGAATTATCTGGTCAGTATAAAACATCAAGTATAAGTTGTCCTACATCTTATATGAGGACAGGAAGTCAGGGTTTTTTTTCTGGTAAACATATTTTGAAATATCAAAAGAATGTTAAGGATACAGACAACTTTGATGAGTGTGATGATGAACCTGAAGACTTTGAGGATGAAGAATATGGTGATATGGTGAAACGAGTCCTGCATTTACCAGAGATGGGCCATCAAGTACTTGTTGTTCAGCCATATGTAAAATGGGGTTCTGCTAAGAAACGCAGTACCACACCAGAACTCCAGTTGGCTGAAGCTGTTGCTCTCATTGGCACATTACAAAGATGGAAAGTTGTTGACAAAGTTAGTGGACACATGCTTTTGCCTATAATGTTCATGGTTGTTGTTGTATGGAGATATAATATAGTGCATTTAATATTTAATTAATGTGAACAAATGTTTCAGGTGAAAATAGCACTCTACTCTTTAGGAAAGAAATCGTTGTTTGGAACAGGAAATTTGGAAATGCTGAAAAAAAGGATTTGCAAAGACAAACAAATAACAGCTGTTTTTATTAGTACAGATATTTTACGAGGAATTCAGCATAGGTAATTATCTTTCTTTGAAGTGTAGGAATTGTAGAATGGATTAGTTATTCTTGAAAATAATAGGGTGCAAAGGTTTGTTCAGAAATTTATCCAATTGAAATAGAGAAAGAAATATTTTTTAATTGTAACACTGAATTTACTGTAACATACTGTGTAGCGACTTTCTATAATATGAAGTCAGATGCTCATTGTTGGGGAAATAAATTTTTATTAAAAATGTGCTGTAAATACATAACAAAATTTCCCATCATTCTTAGTGAAATCTGCATTATTTGATTATTATTTCAGTATAATATGACCAATCTAAAAGAGAAAGCTGTTCTTGCTAACAAGATGGAACTCAAATTTGATAGAATGTTGTCACTAACTGTGGTTGAAAAACTCTTAATTAAATTTTTCCTAAACAGGGAATTGGAAGAAGTATTTGGGGTACCTGTTTATGATCGATATATGGTGGTAATTCAGATTTTCCGAGAGCATGCAATTACTAAGGAAGCAAAACTTCAGATCGCCATGGCTGAGATTCCTTACTTAAGGTATATATATTAGAACTGTTTATTTCCTCTCCAGATATAATTTTTTGTTTGCACTCTCAAAACTTTATTCCAAATTTGTTAATTTTGTCTTATGCAGAAGTGATTGTTCATTGTGTGTTTTCAGTTTTTGTCTAAAATATTATTTCTCCATATATTTTAGAAGTGGGTCTAGAAACCCATAAAACATTGTAGTGATATTAAAAGGTTTTGAATGTACATTCAGTTCAGAATTTAAGAAATTAAGTGTTTACTGAAGTGCAGTTACATTTCATAGTGCCTGGCAGGAAATATTAATAAAAATATAGAGTTAATAATTGCTGGAATTGTCCTCTAAGGTGGATGTCAGTCTCCTGTTTGCTTAAAATGTGAATACATCTACAAATATACAAATTACCTGCAGTAACATGAATGAATCCATTACAAAACACTGAAAGGGGAATTCTTTTAGGCTGTCACTGGAAGTGTTACTAGTTTTTTTCTGAACTAATATGCCATAATACAGAAGTTTGAAGTGTGTATGAAATATAGTTGTTTCAGAGAGTATTTATAATGTCATGCCCCAAATTTACGTGTTCCATCCATTTGTGTATGACAAAAATGTGTGATTTGTTAGAAGGGTAATTAATCTGGTATTTTCTGTTGCTCACTTCGGGTCATATTTGCACTTTCTATATAAATTTTAATAAGAATTTGTAGCCTCTAATTTAATTGAAACCCATTTGTCATGGATGATAGGTGGATACAGTGAGGCTAATAGGATCTGCTTCATTAGTGTGAAGTCTGTCTCTGTTATAAACTATGAAATTGCTTACCATCTTCTTTAAGCTCAGAGAAAGTGGTATGTGGTGAACACATGGTCATATATAAGAGATGAACTTGTCACAGTCCTTGTGGGTGATCAGCAGGGACTGGATTTTTATGCCCTAATAATCCCTTAAATATGTATGCATTTATGCATGAAAAACTGGCTTTCATCATATAACTTGTGGCATCAGTCACAAAGAGCAATACGCGCTCATACTGAATACCATTTGGCCATAGTAAATTCATGGAATTGATAACAAATTCAGAAACTGTGGAGCTATTTGTGGTTTCAAATTGCTCTACCGCAAGAAGATATGGGGTAGACTGTTCATTCTTATTAAAGGATCCAACTATACAATTTGCAATAAACCATCCCTCACAATCTTGTGTTTCATCGATTGATTCCCACACAAAATCTTGAATCTTATCTCTAATTCTTTCAATTGTAAGATCATAACACTGCTTCACGTAATTTTTGCGCGCACTAGATTCATCCGGCACTTTGCACTGTGTATACTTCTCTATGAAGTTTCTCAGAGTAGGATTGGTTAGTTTCCACAGCGGAATATCTGTTGCTAAAAAGGCTTCGCATAAATCAAAGGAAAACTGTGAAAAACTATTATTAGAAAATTCACTAAGCAATTTTTGAACAGAAGCACTTTTTGTGGATTTAATTTTAATATTCTCTTTGTGTATATTAGTGTTCAAATGCTGAAGCACTTGAAAGCATTTTTTCACAACCGTTTTCTCACACGCTCGGCAATAAAGAATTTCATTATCCGTACTTATCATCTCTCCTTCGAACTCCTACTGATACAGCTGTAATTTAGTTTTCTGACTTACTTTCACTTTCGGCATGACTACAGGAAGCTAAACAAACTTAACTACAGACTAGGCACCACTAATGCGAATGGTCCCCAGCTTCAAATGAAGCAGTGTAGCAAACCTCATGGAGACTTCGGAAATAAATAAGTGAAGTCCCTTATCAGTTGAATAGTATTACGTTGATAGCAGCTACATGTGAACGCTTCCGACTGATCTCTTCACAGCCACTTTGATGGTACGCAGATGAGGCAAGTTACGATTAGAGGGATTGGGGAAGTTCCGTCCTGGATATTGCATCAGAAACATGAATCATGACAAAATGTTGAGTCAAATATGCAACATATTCTAATACGGAAAAGAAAAATTGTGTACACATGATCATGATTGAAAATTTGAACATAAAATTAAGAAATATATATGATAAACATTTTAAGAAGGAAATATGCAGTATAAATAGAGATCTTCGAAAATATGATGCTTATTCATAAAGCAGGCAAAATATGCATTTATATGCACTATCAAACCATGTCCAAACTTTAAGAAATGAAGTAATTCATACATATATCCAAATGAGCATGCTTTCTGGTTGCAAGAAAGAAGTATGCATTTGCATTCAAATCCAGTTCCTAGTGATCAGTCACATTAATATGGAATAAATTTGCAGAGTATTGGAGGCTGTTGCTGCCTCCAATGTTGATGGTGAAGGCAGAAACAGTCTCTGAATTGTAAGAAATTCATTCTGTATGATCCCAGCTGCTCCCAAAGAATACTTGTTGCACGGCTTCACAGAAGTGTGAAATAGGACCAGGTTACTCACACTGAAACATGAAACTTTGACACTTGGAATTCTGTAAAATTTGTTGTCAGGGTGCATGTTTCTGATGTCATATACTGTTATTGATTGAGCTCTGTAGACAACTGAAAGGCACTTTTTGCAGGATGAGAATAAAAGGCCTAGTTGAAGGGGCTGCAGATCATCATGGAGGTGGTGTATCATCTATAGGAGGTGCAGGTGAAACTCACATTGAAATTCGCAGAAGGTTACTGAACACTCGAGAAATGAAGTTGAAACGGATGTTGGAGAAAGTACGCAATCAAAGGACACTGTTGCGTAACAGGCGACAGAGACTTGAGTACCCAGTAATTGCTGTTGTCGGATACACGAACGCTGGTAATGATTTAATAAATTTGTTTAATTTTTATAATGTATTATAATTTCAGATATGAGTCTTTTTTATTTAATTTTAATCCATAAATTTTGTAAATGAATAAAATGAGACCCTAGAAGTCTGTCTATTATAAGTTTGTAATATTGCTTTGTTAAGTTAGGATACTGTATCTGCCCACATAATTTCTTGTACACAGTATATACAGGTGTGTCAGTGTGTCTATGGACTATTTTCAGAATAACTGTCTTGAATAGCTTGCCTGTTGTGGACAAGAGGCTAATAGGATTTGAATTTTTAGGGAATTTGTGGTCTGTACCAGGTTTCAGTAATGTTATGACCCTTGCTTCCTTCCAAGGAACAGAGGAACCTATTCCACATGGGTTCTTCCAATGGGTGTGCTTCAAGTGGCTGTCATATGCTTCATTTTGATGACATTGAAGCCTAAGTCCTCAAGGCTGTTGGAAATACCTTCCGCCAGTGTGTCTGGTGTAATGCGATGGATTACTGCCTCGATAGGCTTTTCAGAATTTGGGGAGATGGTAAAATAATGGAGTTTATTTTTCTCCAGGTAGGATTTCATGGCTGAATAATTTACCATTTCTTTTGTTATGGTACGGGTTCCATTTCACGTATTTCGGAACTCATACTCTCGTTTGATGTGTTCTTTTAAGTTGCTTTAGAGTTTAATGATGTTTGCAGTAGATGGCCTGCCTGATTTTCTGGGAGCCTCTTGGTCTTTTAGTGTGTTCTCTGCTCCAGTAGTCTTTGTGTCTGTGGCAGTGTTCTGAGAGTTGCGAAGAAGTTGCGAGTTAACACTGCTTTTGCAGCAAGCTTGACAGCTGTGGATGTTGGGACTGGTTTAGTTGAATTCTTGGCTCTGTGAGGTGCGTTGCTCCAATTGTCTCCATGCCCATGTCAGTAGTTCTGAGAGGTGCGAAGAAGTTGCGAGTTAACACTGCTTTTGGAAGCAGCTTGTCAGCTGCGGATGTTAGGACTAGTTTAGTTGAATTCTTGGCTCTGTGAGGTGCGTTGCTCCAATTGTCTCCATGCCCATGTCAGTAGTTCTGAGAGGTGCGAAGAAGTTGCGAGTTAACACTGCTTTTGGAAGCAGCTTGTCAGCTGCGGATGTTAGGACTAGTTTAGTTGAATTCTTGGCTCTGTGAGGTGCGTTGCTCCAATTGTCTCCATGCCCATGTCAGTAGTTCTGAGAGGTGCGAAGAAGTTGCGAGTTAACACTGCTTTTGGAAGCAGCTTGTCAGCTGCGGATGTTAGGACTAGTTTAGTTGAATTCTTGGCTCTGTGAGGTGCGTTGCTCCAATTGTCTCCATGCCCATGTCAGTAGTTCTGAGAGGTGCGAAGAAGTTGCGAGTTAACACTGCTTTTGGAAGCAGCTTGTCAGCTGCGGATGTTAGGACTAGTTTAGTTGAATTCTTGGCTCTGTGAGGTGCGTTGCTCCAATTGTCTCCATGCCCATGTCAGTAGTTCTGAGAGGTGCGAAGAAGTTGCGAGTTAACACTGCTTTTGGAAGCAGCTTGTCAGCTGCGGATGTTAGGACTAGTTTAGTTGAATTCTTGGCTATCTGTGAGGTGCATTGCTCCAATTGTCTCCGTGTTCATGTCAGTAGTTCTGAGAGTTGTGAAGAAGTTGCGAGTTAACACTGCTTTTGCAGCAAACTTGACAGCTGCGGATGTTGGGACTGGTTTAGATGAATTCTTGACTGTCTGTGAGGTATTATTAGAGATATCCTCTTGCGTCTCTTTACTTCATGGAAGTTACCGTCCTGGGCCATTGATGCCAGTGAGGTTATGTTTATTACATCAGTTTGTCCTTCCTGTTCAGTCACCTTCAGGACAGCCTTTGGTTCATTCAGTGTTACTGCGTACATGCCATAAAGAACACTGAAAAGCAGCTTCCCATCTAGAGCTTTGCAAAAGTTTGCTCTGTTCTCCATACTCTTCGCAATAGAGGTCCAGTTGGAGCTTTCCCTCACTTAAACCGGTGTGGATCTGGCAAGTATCTCAATGTCACTGAGTACTTTATATAGTTGTTGTACTTCAGAAGCTGCTTCTGAATATTTGTTCATGATGGCATGCCATCTCATTTCAGTGATGCCAGTATTTCTGGAATCCCATTACTGGGACATCTGTCATCTTGGTGTACACTGAAGTTCACCACTTGTTTTGTTCTGCACAGCACTGTGCACAACCACGGCTGGGGAGCAAACTCACTGATATTACCTTCACCAGATGGGGTTGGCCGTGAACACACTACATAAAATGAAGTCCGTAAAAACCACTCTGTCCATCACATGTTTCATTGAAATCACTTAATCCAAGCAAGACCTGGCGTTGCTGACTTACAACATTAGACTGCCATGAAGCTATACTGTGATGCTACATAGTGATAAACACAGAAAAACTATTAGATCTGTTAAGCTGGTTTACTTCCATTTGTGACCTATTAACTGACTCTCCGTTGTAGGTTTGCTACTTTGTAAAACTTAGAAGCTGAAATGGATAGTAATATAGCTTGGGAAACTAGTATGAGAGAGAATATCAAAATTTCTGCCAAAGAGAGTCTAGATTATTATGAACTGAAGAAGCATAAGCCATGGTTCGATGAAGGATGATAAGAATTCTTAGATCAAATGAGACAAACCAATTTGCAGTGGTAACAGGATCCAAGTGAAATAAATGAGAATAATCTGAATAATAAAAGATGTGAAGCCAGCAGACATTTCAGGAATAGAAAGTGGGAACACCTGAAAGACATTATTAGTGAGCTTGCAACAAACAGTAAGAACAAGAATATTAGAGACCTGTATAGAGGAAAAAATGACTTTAAGTGGGGTTACCAACCTAGAAGTAACTTAGTGAAGGATGAGAATGGTGATCTGCTTGCAGATTCCCACAACATTTTTAATATGTGGAAGAACAACTTCTCTCAGTTACTGAATGTACTCATACATAGGGTCAGTGATGTTAGGCAGATAGAAATACATACAGCTGAGCCATTACTACCTGATTCTAGTCCTTCTGATGTTGAAATTACTATCACAAACTTGAAAACATATAAATTGTTAGGTAGTGATCAAATTCCAGCAGAACTGAGTCAAGCAGGAGGCAAAACATTACAGATCCAAGAAGTCATTAATTATGTTCTGATTAAGGATGAATTGTCATATCAGTGGAAGGAGTCTATTATTGTACCAGTTCACAAGAAGGGCAATAAAACTGACTACAGTAATTACTGTGGGATATCACTGCTATCAACTTCATACAAAATTTTATCCAATATCCTTCTGTAAAGGTTAAGTCCACCTACAGATGAAATTATTGGGTATCATCAGTATGGATTTTGATGTAACAGATCAACTATGGATCAAATTTTTTGCATTCGTCAGACACTTTTCTTGGGGGGGGGGAGTACAATAAGACAGTACATCAGCTATTCCTAGACTTCTAGAAAACCTATGATTAAAATGTGTTTAAATGAAATATGTAGTAAAGTCTGTATGGATGAACATTTGTCTGATAATTTTCCTATCCTAAATGCCCTGAAACACTGGGACTGAAATGAAATGGGACACATCATCTCCTGGTTTATGGTGATGACGTGAATATACTGGGAGATAACATAGATGCCATAAAGAAAAGCACAGGAACTTCAATTAATGTTAGTAAGGAGGTTGGTCCAGAAGTAAGCACAGAGAACACTGAACATATTGTCACGTCTGTTAGTGACTATAGATGGGGAGTTTGATTGGATATTGACCAGGTATACATGCAACTTGGGACTATGAGTAATTGCAGTGCCACTGCTGATTTCCACACTTTACAAATCGTACGCCAAGTCTTCTCTGATCTGTAATATATTCACTAGACGTTTCCTGGTAGTGGTTTCTAAAAATGGCTGTCCCTTGTTTTGTGTTTGAGTCCTCTCTGACCGATGGCTCCTTTCCAAGTGGCTATTCTTGCAGTGGAATATCACATGTGATTCAAAGTGAGTCAGTCATGGCGTTGAGCCCCATTTAGGCCTCATGACCAGCTATTAATTACTGTTTGACAATTACAGTGTTGTTGTGGGGACACCCACTCTGATGAGAGGGCAGGTCTGTCATTTGTCATTGTCATTGTCTGCAGTAGTAAGTTATTTGTCATACTGTACAAGATATTTACATTTTACATGTTAATAAATGGTAGATGCAATGTACACAAGGTCTCTGTAAGTCCAGGCTCAGTAAGCAGATTATGCCCTATTTATAGTAGCTTCTGCTACAATGGCAGCCTAGTCACTTGTAAGGTCATATGCCTGACCACCGCCAAGTTTAAGCCTCTTGTACTTTCCATGTCAGGCTTCTCCTTCTCCATTAATATAGACATTTTCATTGTCATGATTTAGAATGATTTCTGCTTGTTTCCTGTGTAATTTTATCATATAGTCATATACGTACGTCAAAAGCGGCCTCCATAGTCTAGGGGTAACGTTCCCACCTCATGACTTAAGGTACGCAGGTTCAAACCCTACGGAGGTCGTGGAATTTTTAAGGGCGGAAAAATTCAGGGAATAAGTCCTCCAGGAGGGACTTTAAGCCGTATGTCCTGTGTCGTAGAATTACGACACGTAAAAGATCCTCATGTCTTAGGCAAAGTTTCCTGCCCAGGTAGTTTCCAATTCCTCCGGTAGATGGGGAAGTATCAGGGACCACTGCCAGAGAGGTGGCCAACCTCGCTGGCAGAATGGGGCTGATAGCGAGCACCAGTTCTGGAAGGGCATGGCGACTAGTAGAATAATTAAAGGGGGATGCACAATAGATTAAGAACTAGTCGCAGTGCATGGGAAAACCACCAGCTCCAAAATAATAATAATAATAATAATAATAATACATACATACATACATACATACATACGTCAGGTGGAAAGACCTGTGCATTTTGCAAACCAGTGTGCGCCTTGGAAAGTGGCTATTGTTACGGAGTACCTTGTTTTGCAGGTGCTGCAA